GGGGATTAAGATGGCAGATGTTTGATAGAAAAGATGTAGCTGATCACACCAGAGCACCCAGCAAGCACCCAGAGTACACTTAGCTCTACTTACTAACAATAATATAAAGCATTAGTACAACACACAGCCCACTCAACAGAAAGTTTTCACTTTCAATATACAGTCCTTACACAAGAAATTACGAGACAAGAAGGTCATATTTTTTGTCTCAAATTTAAAAAATTAAAAAAATAATTTTTAATCCATGAAGAACATAATATCTAAAGCTGTTGTTGTTCTTACAGAGATTGTCTGAAATGTAACAGCAAACCAAAACAGGAAAAAGGTCAAATCAAATATTTCATAAAAGACGATAAAGTAAACGAACATGGAGGTACTGTGCATGGGAGTGGGGTAAGGATGGGGGGGGGGTACTGGATGGGGGTAGTTTTGCTTTATTTATTTCAGCAAGAGTTATAACACAATTGGGGCATGCAAGTGCTGGAGATTAGAGGTGTTACAAGAGAGTAATAAACACATTAAAAAAGGAGGAGAGATGAAAACGATAGTTGTTGGACAGGAAAAGAAGGAGCAAACCACGTCAGAACACTCGCCAACCACCCAGTGGTGGGGGAGGGAAGAATTGGAGAGCCGATGGTGATCAGTGACAAGGCTTAAATCATCCGCCCACCCCAACCCACCCCATGGATAAAGTGTATTCTTTGCCTAATCTTTGATGAAACAAAAACATGGGTTAAGTATATTCTACGTCTAATTTTTGATGAAACAAAAACATGGGTTAAGTATATTCTACGTCTAATTTTTTATGAAACAAAAACATGGGTTAAGTATATTCTACGTCTAATTTTAGACGAAACAAACACATGGGTTAATTTTTAATTCTACGACTAATCTTTACCGAGACAAAACACATAGGTTAAGCATAATCTAGCCAGAAAGACCAAGATACTCGATAAAATTTCTCCCCACTAGGGATTCGAACTCGGGTCTCCTGCATGAGACAGTGAAGCACCTTACCGCTACACCACAGATGTCAGTGACTGAACTTCTAAAGCCACCGACGCTGTGCAATCTCTAAATCTAAAACTGAAACATTTTTCACCTCAGTTGCGCATATTCATACTGCTCAAGATACTGAACGATTTTTAGAAAACAGTCGGCCTGCTGTTAAAAAAGCGTTAAGTCTAAAATTCTCAATTTATTGGGGGGTTTTAAATCCCAGTTTCTTAATCTGTGTCTTCGGTTGCAAGTGCTCCAGAAATATTTTGTTGACATTCAAACAGATGGTAAATGTTGAAAAAAAAAATGAAAAAAAAGAAAAAAAAAGAGAATTTAAATACACTTGTTAAAAGAAGGAAGAAACAGTTTTTTCTAATCTCTCTCCTGAAAAATGTGGCTTTCTGGGCTTCTGCCATTTTTAAAGCTAACCCATGGGGTTCACAATTGCTCTCTCCACAGGGAACCACAACTGTCTCAATTTTTAAAATTTTGTTTAGTTTTCGTAAGTTACGGCACTTGCAACAAAGTCATGTCACAAAAGTGCCAAGCATTAGAGACGTCACTAGAAAGTAACATACAAGAAAAGAAGAAGGACGGTAGATTATTTTATATGACAGAAGGAGCAAACCATACCAGAGCGCCAACCACCCAGAAAGCAACTGACGGGAAAAATCTCGTGTAAGGGTTTTTACACTCCAAACAACAATATTTAGGTCATTTAGAAAGCCTACTGCTTCAAGCCTGCTTTTCTGGGCCAACTCAAGCTGAGAGCGGTACAATAGCCCCTCAGGAAGATCCAGTTCCTCCATTTTTTAAAAACCCACCCCACTTGGGATTCGAACTCATGTCTTCTGCGCATGACGACGGATGCCTAAAGGTTATACCAAAGGCATCCGGGGGTTTGTTTTTTTTCACAGTTCCATTTTTTCAAGTTTAGAAAGCATGCTGTAAGTTCATCAAGACAGAAACTTGTTCTTTCACGTTCAACAATCTAAAAACACCTGCCCATTTCTTTGCGGAACGCTGGATCAATAACAACAACTGCTCTGTAAAAAAGAATAAAAACAAGAGTTGTGTGTGTATGCGTGTGTGTGTGTGTGTGTGTGTATGCGTGTGTGTGTGAATGCGTGT